TGACATTCTATGTTATATTGACTTTATCATATGAAAGTTTATGGTGCATTTCATCAATTAATAAATAAATGTGAAAATCGTAATTTTCAACACAAATAATAGTCTCGCTACCTTAAGTAGATGTGAAGGTTGAAAAGAATTTGTTTAGGGGTATTCCAGATACAGCTCCGGATGCACACGCACACTGGCACGCTTACATGGAAACTAAAGTTTCGAACTTCGTCCGAACGGGAGCTATTAATGTTATAAATCTCACGGTATATATTTCCCCCTCTTTCAATGCTCTTTTCAATACAAATATGAATACTACAACGAATGAACCTATATGTTAGTTAGTTGCATTGAGCAACTACATAATACGAAGCATGAACAATATATATTTATCGTTTACTTTTTCAGCATTCCGAAGTCCACATTATATGTTTTCACTCCATTTTTCGCATTAGAAGTAAAACAAAAAAACAACCTTCTAATAATTATTATGATGTATACAGGTGTCCGCCAAAGGACGTGATTGAGTTACGCAGATTCTTCAATAACAATCAGAAGTTTAATCCCACAACAGAACAGTGCCAAATAACTGTGCCACAGAACGGGTGAATCAGAAAGATTAAGCACGCTGCACATGATCACAAATTTAAACGTTTTTTTATACAACCGAGTCGCCTCTGAATAATGTCAAATTTGTTATAACTTTCCTGATTGGCCAGTTTAGGTGTCGTCATCAATCGCCAATTCATGATCTGGTAGTAAATCATAGATCGACGGAAGTGATTCATTTAGGAACCACCCACAAATTTTTAATATGCATAATCAACGATAAATGCAAATAGAACCATTGATTATAGAAGTATACAATAACATATGGGTTCAGCAGATATAAATACTTACCAATCGAATTCTCTTTCTTCGTTTTTATTCCATGGTACTAAACATAAGCAAATAAGTGAATTTAAAAAGTCACATTTAATTTTCGCTTGTAACACTAATTCGTGTTCTCTTACAATTGTCTACGTAACATAATTTATAATTTATACATGTATATAAAATATTGTCTGATGTTACCATGGCAACCCCCAATGCCTCGCCAAGTACAGATACGATATTACATAATACATACCGGTTTGGGGGACATTGTCTGTGTATGTTTTTTTGAGATATTCGGCCAGCTCTTGTGCAAGACGACTTGTTCGTGACAGGTTATCTTCATTCGAATCACCATCCTCAACGAGGATGAACAAATCGTGTCGCATATCAAACGGTTCACTCATCATATTAGTTTCAGTTCCCGTATAAGTGTAGGTGACATATTTCTCTTCTTCATTCTACAACACAGAAAATACGTTCATGTATTTACAATGGTTAAATATAAAAAATGCAATATTGAATAAAATATTAACAATAGCTGATATCTTTTAAGATGTGTCAAATAGTAGCTACTCTTATAAAATTAAGCATATTTTTTTAAGATCGGCACCATAACGAAATAAGTTCAACACTCTGCATTCGATAATAATAGCCAATTTGGTATGTGAGTAACTGCAATCTATTTTCTAATATCAATGACACATAGTATAGTGTAAAGTTCGAAGAAGCAAAACATGCTGACGTTCAGCTAATATAATGATAATAATAACATGTAAGGTCAGGTTCCTTAACAAGATAGCAATACATTTTCTTATAAGTCGCGCTGTCTGACGACGAATCCCATTTGGCACAAATGATCAGCTATGCTAGACATCAGCATGAATATATGGAATCTCTTTTGCACACATTTACGCCACTTACAGGAACGGTGTTGTGAACTTACTGTACAGAATATAAAATCTTTTATCTTACTTTCTGCTATAATAGCAACTATATAAACATCGTTCTTCAAACACATTCCTTTATACTTCATTTTCTCATGTTCCAGGACATTACATAGGCGTTTGGTTACCCCCCTGCTTAGTCCACTGGTAAAAATAATGGCTCCTGGGAACACAGTAAATAATTAAGTTAATCATTGTGGTACTATGATTAGCTAAGATGGTAGTGATGCCAAAATGAAAATTTGCAATTTTATTCAAACACGGCTTTATTTGCCCAACTGTTTGCTATAACTGACGCCCATGCGTCAAATGATAGTTAAGCTTATCATTGTTTAATTCAATTATATTTCGAATTGTTTATTTTAACAGTGTAGCAAATATTATTTAATTGCATGTTGATGATCGATCGATCTACTATGCAATAGTGACAGGTTATCATTTCTTAGAACTAACTTTCCCACAAAACTGTTGATAGTCTTTATATATATTAGAAAGAGTGTATCATTCGTTGTCACTGATATATTGTATGGCGCTGTGACATTGGAAGGAGTGTATCCTATGACTTATCAATCATATATATTGAGAATGATTCCCACTGAATTACACTTTCGAATATGTGAAATACCATCATTTTTTTTAAATTAATTAATACATTGTATTTTGACCATAATGTGAATATATTCCAACACAATAATTGTACTCATAAAATCTACTACAACATATTACTCTTATAACGTATATTAATAATTGCAAATAATTTATCCCATGGGCTGAAATTGACAGTTAGGCATAAACGTATTATATGTTGTATATATGAATGGTAAATTGTTACAGTATAGTATCTCCGAGTGGTTAGATAGTATATATGACTTCTCAATAGATTCTTTTAATGGTTAAATACTATTTATGAATGGCATGGTTAATCTAACCAGTATGTAAGGCTGCTTGCACAACTAATTTCAGAAACGCTGTCATTCGTATCGGAGTACCAATCTCGTCATCATATGACATAATACAGTACACGTTATCTGGCATTCTATTATCAATATTCAGCACGTATTTTGTTTTCATCCACAGCTGATTGACATCAATCTTTTCATCTTTCTTCACACGAATATATAACTGTAAAATCAAACGTTATTGGTCGGTAAATGCAGTGTACGGCGCGCCGTAGTCTGTGGCAATAGACAACTCCGTCGCCTAATAACGATATTTCTCAGTACGCTTACAATGTAATCACACGAAAACAAAATGTTTAGTAATAATGGCACACTATTATTAGGCATGTTATTTTTTTGACCAAGTCAGATTCGGTTTGGATTCATAAACCAAATAATGAATATTTTGTTTACTGTCAATTTTTTCTACAATACGAAAAATAACCCGATACTAAAATCTATCCAACTTTACATTATGCATATAGTTATGGGAAACAAATATGTAACTCCGTTCCACTTTAACAAGAATTCTTGTTTACATAATGGCTATTATAACTTATCTAAGTCCAATGATAGTGAACAAAACACGACATTTAATCACACAGATACTGCTCGATTGACTGACTGTGTTCAAAACTTCAGAAAAAATGCGCCACCAACGGTGCACGTAGCCCAATATTTTGCTAGGTTCCAAACATCTAAGCGCCAATATGAAAAAGTTGACGCGCGTGAAAAAAGTTAACCCGCCATCCATCTTTTCTCTAAACCACGCTCATTGAATAAATAAGTTGTCCGCGTTACTTCTCAAAATATCCGACCGTCACATACCAGAAATATGGCTACTATCGTTATTGAATTACCGGGACTAATAATGCGTATTATGACCAATACGTTTTTTTTTTCCTTTTGCAAACACAAGACAGCAAAATAGTGATTCCATTTAGTTGGTAATCACCCAACTTAGTCATCGACATAGGGGTGTATTTGCTGTATACGCCGATTACTCCATTGAGGCATTGCATGAGATCAGATCATTGGATTTGCTTGGATATAACAACACTCTTGAATTTCTAAATATTGATGTGGACATGGTTAGCCTTAAACATGGTGAGCTGGGATTTTTTTCTGTATTTTGTTAATTATTATGGCTGTTACCTGGATATACTGACATATTCTCTTTATTAACCAGTCATATGCAAAATAATAATACAATGCTAAAAAGTATTTCACTATTTATATTTGAAACATACTATCTATTACTCGTAACATTATATAATCTATGAATACATTCCAAGAATAATATTTCATCCAGAACTTTGCAAAGCAGCAACTTTATTAGCTCTTGGTTGATATTTTCTAGTCACAATTAGAGCTGATTTGCTCAAGGCGTTCAGAACGAGTCACCTCCGACAGTATCATATAATTTGACTTTTCGTCAGTGGGCGTCGTTTAGAGAAAATACGTTTGGCGGTTTTACTTTTATTTTTTGCGCGTCACCGTTTTTTACTTTGTTTACCACCTAGCAGAAACAGTGGACACCGTTGGCGGCGCATTTTTCGTGACGTTTTGAACACTCAGCAAATTTGAGCAGCATTTATAACAGAGAAGTTTTGGACAAAGTAAAAGAAAATATTTGTCAAGCTGACCATACAATTGTACCTGACATATAGGTTAAACGGATTCCAATACAGAACTTCCCTGTGTGATAATTAAAAAGGATACAATAATACTCGTTGACAGCACAAACGTACTATGTATGTCATAGGTTACAACGAGGCACACACAAACTGTTACCTTCTCATTTCCATTATTGCCACAGTCAGGCATGTCTACATTGCCCTTGATGTCTGGAACACACGATAATCTAAACTGAGCATCTGGGGTCATAGGGTGTACTTGCTGTAAGCTATAACACTGTAATAAAACAGGAAGAGAACATGAGGAAGTAAGTCCATGGACTGATAGATAGAATATATAAAACATTCACTGTGGTCCACTACCATGATATGTCTCGTTGTTATAACACATGGAGATAGTTATTATCAAAATGAATATGCTGTGAATAACAATTGTGGGTATCTTCTGATGATAAATGAGTAAATCTGGAAGAGAAATCATGAATGAGTTTCACCTCCACTTTCACTTCGTGTGGTGTAATAGTGTTGTCTAGCGACATAGCTTCTTCGATTGCTGGGTCTTGTAAGTACTCCTTCAGGCTAAATCACAACACATTTCAGTGTATGAATGTACTACATCTAAACCGTTCAACGTATTCGAAACCACTGATTATCCCAAGCGTGGTTATAACGGATGTGACCTTTTGACCCGGACTATGACGGCTAGGGGGTATTCAGTGTTCAGTTTATGGCACACCTATCCACCGCGATAGAAATCGAATGTTTTCGTCAGTTGACGATGAGCGCAGCCGTCCTGCATTTCATGAGGTAACTCAAACAAAAGATAAACCTTAAACCCCATATAATTATGTGCATCAATTGTATTACATGCCGTCAACACAAAAAACATATACAAGTACCTCGGCTGTCAGTGGAAGATCAGATATGTTGTCATGAGAAAGATTCTGGTTCACTCCTGAAGTTTCCTTTTTTTTCTTTTAATGCATATATATATTTTTCTAACTTGGTCCGTGGTTGTAGATTTGGTCGGAAATATCTGGGATTATTTTGTTAAATGCAAAGAATTCAAGGAATGCCAACTTCCGCCGTTCTCTGAATTGTGCAAGTGAAATTAAATAAGCTTCTACTGTCACGTGAAGACTGAAACATGTGTGGGTGTTTGGCATCCTATCCTCAACGGTCGTGTTTCCAGAGATCAGTGAACGTATGCAACAGGTCGATATCAGATATTGGGTCTCTGTGTCGTTATGCATCATGTAATAGGTTAAATTGATGTAATTGTAGCGTAGCTCACAGATAAAAATCTCTTTCGCTTTGTAAAACAAACACTTAGAACTTAGTGAGAGGCATATTTCTAACCGCTGAAATAATTGTATAAGGATTATATTCAGGCAGTATACTTGCTTGTGATTCACAGCAAATCACGTGAATCGCACAGTGATTCCACACTCGGCGCAGTTGGAGTGACGTAACGAAGTTGGGGTTAAAATGTCGTTATCACTCGCTGAAGATAGAAAATTGTCCCTCCGAGAAATATTAATAACTATAATATGTTCGCGTCCGTCCGTCCGTCCGTCCGTCCGTCCGTCCGAATGAGTACACAAGTTGGTGGATCAAGAATTGTTGAAGGGTACTCAACTTGCAATTGTCGGTCATTTCTTCAATAAAAGATGGTCGATGATTTTCTCTGGAAATCAAAAATAACTAGGGAACACATGTTCACATTCTTGTTTCGGCCTTTTTTGTAATGGTATTTTAGTCATTTCTGGTACATTTGGTGTTATTAAAGTTGTTTTTTTCAGATATTAGGATTATCGACAAACAAAAGCTATACGAACGTGTGACAAACTCATTTCTATCAAAAAAGAAACACCAGAGAAATTGCAGAATACACTTTTATTTCTATGTGCGAAACCCTTATATTGTACTATAAATAGCATTATAGCACATATTACAGATAAGTCATTGCACACGCAGGTGGCATCGATGATCATTGGTTATTTATAGACGTCCAACCAATAATTAACGACGTCGACAGTCAGTGACGTCACATCGAACGTTCCGAAAAGAGCCGAGTGGTAATATTCATATGTGTTTAATGCCAACGTGACTTCTGTACATATTCGCACAATGCTTCCTAAGGGCTTGACCATTAGAAACTCTCGAAGGAGAATTTGAAAAACATGGTATATTCATTGAAAAAAAACATGTTGGGAAAAAAATACAATTATAAATAATTTGCACAGTTTTTCTACCGTCTCCACCACCCAGAGTTTCCAACCCACGTCTTCCGCATTTTCCCAACAATGAAATGTATATGCAGTGTTGTTATTTGACAGATCGAAACAGAGTTAAAAGAATGCAATGTCGTGGGAGTGTTTACCAATCACGATGTCTAGTCACTCATGAATGAGGAACTTGTTCATGCACAGTAACGCCAAAGAGTAAAATGCGGAACTGGTACTAAGTACATGTAATATGTCACGGTGTACGGCGCATGGTGAATTAGGCCACGCTGATTATTGCTGGTTAGAGGGTATCGCTTTGTTTTTTACATGCACGGTAACTGTCGGTAAATACTTATTTTAGAGTAACTCACGACTGAATTTGTATTATGTAGTTGCAAGAGTACATTGTCTGTTGACATGTACTATTCACCCTGCCGTGAGCATACCTATTATGTACTGCCCACGTACTGCCAACGACTGTAATAGGTCACAGAATTCCCAAGACCTCATTCTGGTTACTGTATATATACCTTCAGACCCCGAAGTGGCGTTCAACTGGCGACGTTATTCAGTCTCTCATTTCGAAATGCCTTTTAATGAAGACAAGTAAGTATAGGTAATTTAATTATTATTTGGCATTTGTGTTTGATATATGAATATCACTGTAGCTGCATAGCACTGTCACATCGTGGTTTAGCAAACTTCAGTATATAAGTGTTAGATGTATGATTCGTGATGTTGACGTATTTCAACTAACTGTGTAGTCCCAGCTTGACTCAAAATTTGCTCAAAATGTAAAAGTGAAAATATGGATAAAAATCGTTGCACATACCTGTAAGTTTTAACTATTGAAGTACAATCGCCCCACCCAGCCCCTGATATTATCAAGCCCGGCAGACTATTGCTCGCCGTGTTATAATACTAGTAACACCATTAAGGTGTATTTACATAATTATTGTAAATCAACAATACTGTGTTCTAAAATCATTAACTAGTCTTAAGCCTTGTTCACACTGGGCAAAATAAAACGGTGTCACACCGGCGTTTATAACGCCGTTATTAAGGGTTGGATCGGATTCCAAACGCCGTAGTCACACTGCACCGACTTCAATGTTTCCTTTGTCGTTTTACTTATACCATTAATAGATTAATAATAATTCTAGTATTAATAATGTTTTGTAATTACCTATTAATAAATTCGCTATTATAGTACTATTGTTGGTATAACTGACTGGTTGATAGTTTACCCATGTGTAATTTTGGCTTATCACACGAGATTTGACCGCACATTAATCAATATTAATCCAAAAGACGGCTTCTTAAACGTGCAAGCAACGCAGGCATACAGTATGTTATAGACGTACTCGCAGAATGACATGAGGAACTTTATGAATAATTGTATTAATAAGTATATAATATATAGGCGCTGACAGTACTGGATTCTATTCTCTTCATTGTAAAAAAGAATGTATATAATACTTTAAATCAAACTTCCGTTAAAATGAATGTTTTTGTTGGTTTAGTCACATATCAATCTATATTGTAGTGTGTAGTACTTTATTACAAAAGCAATGTCAACTGAAAAAATACCATTCTCGTACATTTTGTCTACATTACTCATCACAGTGACACAGCCATGTGTGGCAGTGACGTTTCAACATGGCTTTTGCCAGCGTGTTATCTCCAAACTGCTGTGAGCGTGGATGCAGTACAAAGACATCCAGACGTAAGTTACTAAGTTAAAAATAATCAAATCATTATGTGTAGATCGGGTTCGATATTGAGGTAATTGCCATGCTCAATTTTTATGTTGCATCAATATTTAACAGGTTGAGTTCCATTGTCGTATCATTTGATTCAATTTTGCTTATATGACATGGCCGAAATGGCGAATATAGTTTTTTTTCATTTTCCCCATGTTAGTTATTTGGAAAAGTAATGAAATGTTACTTTTTAGTTGACAAAAACATTGTAACACTCCATATATGATGTGCATACATCTAATGCAATATTATTACATTCTCATTGGTATTTCAGCATCGCGGTAAGAGAAAGATACAAAACAAAAGAAAAATCTGGAGAAAGAGCAAACATCATGATACAAATGTAGTTTCGAGGAAAGCACCTCATGCACATTCTAAAAGGGTAAATAACTGGATAGATTTATACATTTATTGTGCATTTCATCCCTGGATCTCAGCCCGTGACCAGCAGGTCAGTCATGAAATGGCATGGTTTGTATCGTTCTAATGTTCTTGCTCTTCAGCATCCGTCAATTATTTTGGCTCCATGAATAAAACATAGATTTATAATATATAATATGTTTCATGTACAAATTAACAAGTAAGACCAGTATTTAATTTCTTCAATTGTAATTACACAAATTTTAAGAGAATCCCAAAAATTATAGCACAGAGTGGTTAGCGATTTTCATTAATTTTACAGATACAGCCACATCGCCGATGCAAGATTTACCCTAAATCCACCAATACGGATTACGAAGGTTACACCCAAAATGATGGACCAAATAACGTAGAGAGATACATGCCCCTAGGCAGGTAAGACTGGTTAACTTACTGAACTCTTTTACTACATACGTTTGTACACTGGAAATCGAACGAAGTGTTTTCAAATTAGACACATTTTTATATCCACATAAATATCACTCTACGTGATTTATAATTAAACACATAACAAGTTTAACTTAAAATAACAAATGGTTTATATTACAATTTGAAATGGAACATATTAAGTGTTTATAATCTGCATTTAATTGAAACTAATTAAGTCCTCAACTTATTTGCAACTGATTTAGTGTGTTCAAACTATTCGTAAAATTTATAGATAGAAACAATATCCAACAAAATGGACATGTACATTCAAAACAATTGAAGTAATACAATGAAACAAACGATCACATCTTTGAACTCTTTTATAGCTTCGTTTTCATCGTAGATGACAGAATGGAACTTTTCATGTAGATGACTGACCGTCGTCGTCCGTCTGTCTGTCAATAATTACATTTTCATCTCGTGCTTGAAAGTCACCGGCTCAGTTGCTTTGATATTTGGTGTGAATGTAACTTGGGTGAACATCTGTCAGACAATGCGTTTCCTGTAGTAAATAAAAACATTGACAATGAGTGTACGTTACTCTGAAATTGAACTCGCAATTATGTTAAATGCGTGGGTGAAAAGTCAGCGGTAAACGTACCAGATGTGATTTGCTTTTTAACTTTATTAATAAGTGTATTTATGCGCGAGTTTTCAGATGCATTTGAGAGTTACGATAATTTATAAAAAAGCCAAACCAAAATCTTAAGGTTTGGACAAAATTTGAAGCACCTTTCAATAAATTGCGTGGGCAATACAAACCTTTGATATGATTTTTGAATTTGAGATATTCGTACTACCTTATTTCTTGGTACAAGCTTTGAGATGGCAGACA